AAAATAATAAAAAATAAAAGCTAAGAAACTGTCCTTCAGTTTCCTAAGTGGAAATGACCATCTATGAATGCAGCTTTTTTAGAGCCTTCAGATGAGACATGAATGCAATTTTAAAATGGTAACAAGTCTGTCACAGTGCTTTTCAAACTTTTTTTTTTTTAAAGCAGCTATCAGTTGATACTTGTGAGCACCCACAAAGGGCGATTTTCAAACTTTAATGTGCATATAATTCACCCAAAGATCATTATTTCTTGAATTATTTTGCTATATGAATTGAGGGGCTGAATAATGATTACTTTAAGATGTTTATAACTTAATCCCCAGATTTTATTATGTTATCTTACATGTCAAAGGGACTTTGCAGACATGATTGAATTAAGGATCTTCAGATGAGAAGATTATCCTGGAATTTCTTGGGTGGGCTCTAAATGTAATCATAAGTGTCCTTCTAAGAGTGAGGCAGGAGGAGTAACGGTGAGAAAAAGGCAATGTAACAATCAAAGCAGAGAGGGATTGGAAGGGTCTATACTTCTGAGTCTGAAGATGGGGCTATGAGCCAAAGGAATGCAGGCAGTTTCTAGAAGCTAGAAAGCCAAGGAATCAAATTTTCCCTTATACCCTCCAGAAAAAATGCAGGCCTGCTGACAAGCTGATTTCAGACCACTGAAACTGATTTCAGACTCCAGAACTGTAAGATAATCAATTTGTGTTCTTTTGAGCCATTAAATATATGGAAATTTATTACAGCAGCAATTAAAAAATTAATAAAAAACAATTTTTTCAGGTGAGGTCTTCCTAAGAATAAAAAGCAAAAAAAAAAAAAATTTTTTTTTGATTTCTTTAAAATGTAACTTATGCTGACTCCAAGGGACACCAGAAGAAAAGGAACTTACATGTTTATTTAAAGCATTGTTTTTAACACTAAAAGTCAAGTAACAACTAAAACTCCAAAAAGAAATTTTAAAATTATACACAACTATTCAAAGTTGTCATAGAGCTGGGCATCGTGGCTCACGCCTGTAATCCCAGGACTTTCGGAGGCCAAGTTGGGGGTGGGTCACCTGAGGTCAGGAGTTCGAGATCAGCCTGACCAACATGGTGAAACCCCACCTCTACTAAAAATACAAAATTAGCTGGGCGTGGTGGTGGGCACCTGTAATCCCAGCTACTTGGGAGGCTGAGGTAGAAGAATCACTTGAACCTGGGAGGCATAGGTTACAGTGAGCCGAGATTGTGCCACTGCACTCCAGCCTGGGCAAAAAGGGTGAGACTTGGTAAAAAAAAAAAAAAAAAAAAAAAAAATTAGCTGGGCATAGTCATGGATGGCTGTAGTCCCAGCTACACAGGAGGCTGTGGGATGAGAATTGCATGAACCTGGGAGGCAGAGGTTGCAGTGAGCTGACATTGCACCACTGCACTCCAGCTGGGCAAGAGAGCAAGACTCTGTCTTGAAATAAATAAATTAAGTACAGTGTTATGATACTTTATAAAAAGAGATTCTAGAGGCCAGGCACAATGGTTCAGCACTCTGGGAGATTGAGGCAGGAGTATCACTTGAGCCCAAGAGTTTGGGAGCAGTCCAGACAATATAGTGAGATCCTGTCTCTACAAAATAAAAATAAATTAGCTAGGTGTGGTGTGCATGCCTGTACTTCCAGCTACAAAGGAGGCTGAAGTGGAAAGATCATCACTTGAGCCTGGGAGGTCAAGGCTGCAGTGAGCAGTGATCAATCATTCCACTGTACTGCAGTCTGGGTAACAGAGTAAGACCCTGTCTCCAAAAAAAAAAAAAAACAAAAAACAAAAAAAACAAACAAACAGAGAGATCAATCCTACCTTATCTTACCTATCTTATCTGATGCTTGGTAACACTGAGATTTATCACTTAACGCTTCATACTCTTGATTTTATGATTTGAGCAGGCAGAATATAAAATAATGGGCATTTGTTAAAATGATGACATCAATTATAATAAAATTATATGCTTTGAGGCCCATAAAAGATAGTCACAACCAGTCATTCTATGTTAGAAAAGTAATCTGAAGTTAGTCTTGGTTCATATCTTCTGTACTGGTGTAATTGTTAGCAGTGCCTGCTTTCACTCTCAAGTCCTGGTAAATGATGACTATTCTATATAATCAATTTCAGAAAAGAATAATTACACTGAAGTAATTTTATGAATTTACTGTTTAGTCTGTGATAGGAAATATCAACTATCACAAACACTTGGAAAATATAGTTGTCGCAGTATTTAATATTCAATTATTTAAATAATTTTGCAGCCACAAAAAAGAACACGATCATGTATTTTGCAGGAACATGGATGGCACTAGAGGCTATTATTCTTCAAACTAACGCAAGAACAGAAAACCAAATACTGCATGTTCTCACTCCTAAGTGGGAGCTAAATGATGAGAATTTACGAACACAAATTAAAAAACAGGTCTGGCATGGTGGATCATGCCTGTAATCCCAGCACTTTGGGAGGCCCAGGCAGGCAGATCACAAGGTCAGGAGTTAGAGACCAGCCTGGCCAACATGGTAAAACCCCTCTCTACTAAAAATAGAAAAAATTACCTGGGCATGATGGCGAATACCTGTGAGCCCAGCTACTGGGGAGGCTGAGGCAGGAGAATCACTTGAACCCGGGAGGCAGAGGTTGCAGTGAGCCAAGATCCCGCCATTGCACTCCAACCTGGGCAACAAAGCAAGTTTCCATTAAAAAAAAAAAAAAAAAAAAAGGAACCAACAGACACACACTGGGTCTACCTGAGGGTGTAAGTTGGGAGGAAGGCGAGAAGCAAAAAAGGTAACTATTGGGTACTGAGTTTAATTCCTGGGCAATGAAACAATCTGTATAAGGTGGGAGGAAGGAGAGAAGCAGAAAAGGTTAACTATTGGGTACTGACTTTAATTCCTGGGCAATGAAACAATCTGTATAAGGTGGGAGGAAGGAGAAGAAGCAGAAAAGGTAACTATTGGGTACTGACTTTAATTCCTGGGTGATGAAACAGTCTGTATAACAAACCCCATTGACATGAATTTACCTATGTAACAAATCTTCACATGTATCTCTGAACCTAAAAGTTTAAAAATAAATATATAAATATGGCTGGGTGTGCAGGCTCACACCTGTAATCCCTGGACTTTGGGAGGCTGAGGTAGGTGGGTTACTTGAGCCCCAGGAGTTTGAGACCACCCTAGCGAACACAGAGAAACCTCACTAAAGATACTAAATATTAGCTGGGCGTGGTGATACATACCTGTAATCTCAGCTACTTAAGAGGCTGAGGCACAAGAATTGCTTGAACCCTGGAGGTAGAGATTGTGGTGAACCGAGTCTGCGCCACTGTACCCTGGGTGACAGAGCAAGACTATCTCAAAAGAAAAAATAAATAAAAATTTTCCCCTACAGGGAACCAAAGTAAATTTTGTGAGTGAGTTGAAAAGTACTAAGAGCCAGGTGCCAATATATATATAGTTTTTTTTCTTGGGATTCTCACTCTGTTGCCCAGGAGGGTGTGCAGTGGCATGATCTCAGCTCACTGCAACCTCCTGCCTCCCAGGTTCAAGCGATTCTCTTAACTCACCCTCTGAAGTAGCTTGGGACTACAGGTACAGCCACCATGCTTGGCCTAAGTTTTTATATTTTTAGTAGAGACAGGGTTTCACCATGTTAGCCAGCAGGGGGTGCCAAAATATTTTTAGGTGATTTTGAAACCATCACAAATCGAAATCTTTAATTTATTTAAGATTATTCAAAGAAAAATGTCAATATAACAACTATAATTCTAGATTGGATCATACATTTCAAAATATAGAAGGCCAGGTGTGGGGCTTACATCTATAATCCCAGCACTTTGGGAGGCCAAGACAAGAGAATTGCTTAAGCCCAAGAGGTTGAGACCAGCCTAGGCAACATAGTGAGACTTTGTCTCTACAAAAAAATTTAAAAATTCGCTGGGCATGGTTGTGCCTACTTGTAGTCCCAGCTACTCAGGAGGCTGAAGTGAGAGGACTGCTTGAGCCCAGGAGGTCAAGGCTACAATGATCTGCTGTGATCATGCCACGACACTCCAGCCTGGGTGACAAAGTGAGACCTTGTCTAAACAAACAAACAAACAAAAACAAAACCCAAAAAAACAAAAATGTAGAAATAAATGATTGTGATCCTATCAACCCGATTATTTTGGAAGATATATGTTCCAAACAATCTCTAGATGAGATAACAGCTCCAAAGTCCCCCTTTAATATCATAAAATGTCATAAAAAGCTAAACAAATGGCTTAGATTTTAAGATTGAGGTCACTAAAATCAGTTTGGTCACCTAAAATTTGTATCATACCCATAAAACTGAACAGAATAATATGCTGACTCATGATGCTCGCTTCTCTTTTATAATTATAAAAGCAGATCATCTAAAAGAAATATCAAACTTACATTTAAAAAGAATAGTTGGTCGTGGTGGCTCACGCCTGTAATCCTAACACTTTGGGAGGCTAAGGCGGGTAGATCACCTGAGGTCAAGAGTTCAAGACCAGCCCGGCCAACATGGTGAAACCCTGTATCTACAAAAATACAAAAGTAGCCAGCCATGATGGCAGGTGTCTGTAATCCCAGCTACTCGGGAGGTGGAGGTGGGAGAATTGCCTGAACCTGGGAGGTGGAGGTTGCAGTGAACAGAGATCTCGCCATTGCGCTCCAGCCTGGGCAACAGAGCAAGGCTCCATCTCTCAAAAAAAAAACCACAATAAGAATATGGGAAAATCTTTTCTTCCTAAGATTTTCTAGGGAACTGGTAAAGAAAGGGGTAAAAACAGTCTAAATGGTAAATTCAGAGTGGCCACATGAGATCAGCTTTCCACATTTGTGAAATATAATCGTCTCTATTGAATGTTACTGAAAATGGAAACAGGGTAAAATATAAATGCAGAATACTGCTTTACAAAAACTTTAAGAAAATCATATTCTTTAGTTATTTTTCCCATTCACTTCATATAATCTGGATTCATTCATGCCATAGTGTTTATTTATATCTTAAAGTAACAAGTCTATTTGTACACATTGATTTCACAGCATCAGTAAATTTATATACTTGGAGATTTGTTTCTGGGATATAATTCTTCCTCTGCATCTCGTGACCGTTTCCGGGTATTCAAGGAATCTTCTGTCTGCAATGAACATGCAGAAGTAATAACAGTATCTCTAAATCCCTGAGGCTGCAAGATAAAAAATATAAACATAAATATATGCTTTAAGAACATTTAAAGATCTATCTTCAAAATTTTTTTTTTTTTTTTGAGACGGAGTTTCACTCTTGTTACCCAGGCTGGAGTGCAATGGTGCGATCTCCGCTCACCGCAACCTCCGTGCCTCCTGGGTTCAGGCAATTCTCCTGCCTCAGCCTCCTGAGTAGCTGGGATTACAGGCATGCGCCATCATGCCCAGCTAATGTTTTGTATTTTCAGTAGAGACGGGGTTTCACCATGTTGACCAGGATGGTCTCGATCTCTTGACCTCGTGATCCACCCGCCTCAGCCTCCCAAAGTGCTGGGATTACAGGCTTGAGCCACCGTGCCCGGCCTCAAAATATTTTTAATTAATTCGTAAGAAAGCTACTTTGTTCTAGGGCCAGGTTCGGTGGCTCACACCTGTAGCTCCAGAACTTTGGGAGGCCGAGGCAGGCAGATCATGAGGTCAGGAGTTTGAGAGCACCCTGACCAACATGGTGAAACCCCATCTCTACTAAAAATACAAAAATTATCGGGGCATGTTGGCGCATGCCTGTAGTCCCAGCTACTCGGGAGGCTGGGATAGGAGAATTAGAATTGCTTGAACCCAGGAGGCAGAGGTTGCAGTGAGCCAAGATCATGCCACTGCACTCTAGCCTGGGTGACAGAGCAACACTTTGTCTCGAAAAAAGAAAAGAAAAGAAAGCTACTTAGTTCTTGAGATAGATATTTATCACCCACTCTGAATGAAGAGGATAAACATCATGGGTATTTGTCTAAGCCTGGGCCATATTTGAATATTTTATATATACTTATTTACATGCATGCATGCATACACACACACAGAGAAATAACATTTTATTATAAAAATGTTCTCTAAAGGACAATCCTAACAAACTTTAAAATAGCTTTGTTAGAAGAACTGAAAGGAAATAACCTAAGTCTTCAATACTTTACAGATTTATTTTCATCATTAAATACTCTAAAGTTTTCCAACTAGGATATTTCAAATGCACCTGGATAGTGTAAAGTCTAGGTGGATAATTCAGTTTCAGAATCTCTATTTCTGTTTTTGTCCTTAAAAAAATGAGATAAAGCCAAGAGCAGTGGCTCATGCCTGTAATCCCAGCACTTTGGGAGGCTGAGACGGGCGAAGCACTTGAGGTCAGGAGTTTGAGAACAGCCTGGCCAACATGGCAAAACCCTGTCTCTACTAAAAATACAAAAATTAGCCAGGTGTGTTAGCACACGCCTGTAATCCCAGCTACTAGGGAGGCTGAGGCAGGAGAATTGCTTGAACCAGTGGGCCAGAGTTTGCAGTAAGCTAAGATCGCGCCATTGCACTCCAGTCTGGGCAATACAAGACTCTGTCTCAAAAAAAAAAAAAAAAAAAAAGAAAAATCAGATGCCAAAAATATACTTGGCTCTCAACATTATTGATAAATATGCATATTTTATCCAAAAAATATGTGTTCTATAATGTAAATTCACAGAAAAATTAACATCTTAAAGTGGGCTATATTTGGTGGCTACAATAGCTCTATAATACCTATGAGACCAAAATAAGTAATATCAGTATTTTTTCTTTTCTGGAAATCTTCAACAACTTTCCCTTTAAAGATTTTTAATATCCTGACATTACATATGGCATGGAACACACTACCCGAAAATAAGTATTTCCTCTGTTCTTAAGAATAAATTTCAGTCCATTTGTGACTACAATATTCTGTATATTACTATTTTGGGGACAATGTTCTAAGCATCAAAAGCTGTCCTCAAATATGCTTGCTGCCTACAGAAGTTAACAGAAGCAAGTTGTAAACTTGCTTCAGATAATTACTGCCCACCAATATAAAAATCCCACTCTAATCAAATAATACTGACTGTGATTTGAAACAGTACTGTGGATTCCTTCTGGCTGGGTGACTTGTACAATGTTGCCAACCTGCTCAAAGAAAAATAATACATACAAACACATGAACTTAATTAATTAAAAGTTCAAATGACCAAACTCATAATTTAAATGTATAGGTTTATTATAAATCTTTTTTTTTACTGTAAGGACAAAAAATAGAGAGAAATATTAAAATACACCCTTAAATACCTGTATGTATTTAACAGAGTTGTTTACATGAGTGAAATTTTAAAGCAATCTAAAAGTTCAATGACTGATTTAAATAAACTATCTTACATATGAAATATTAGTTATGCTAAAAACTAAAGGTGGAAGGCCAGGCATGGTGGCTCACACCTGTAAATCCCAGCACCTTGGGAGGCCCAAGTGGGCAGATCATGAGGTCAGGGGTTTGAGACCAGGCTGGCCAATATGGTGAAACCCTGTCTCTACTAAAAATACAAAAATTAGCTGGGGGTGGTGGTGTGCGCCTGTAGTCCCAGCTACTTCGGAGGCTGAGGCAGGAGAATTGCTTGAACTCAGGAGGCAGAGGTTGGAGTGAGCTGAGATCACGCCACTGCACTCTAGCCTGGTGCCTGGCGCCTGGCGACAGAGCAAGACTCTATCTCAAATAAATAAATTAATTAACTAATTAGCCAAGCACGGTGGCAGGCACCTCTAGTCCCAGCTACTCGGCAGGCTAAGGCAAAAGAATCGCTTGAACTCAGGAGGCAGAGGTTGGAGTAAGCCGAGATTGTGCCACTGAACTCCAGCCTGGGCAACAGAGCAAGATTTTGTCTCAAACAAAACAAAACAAAACAAAAAAACAACAAAACAACAACAAAAAAAACAAAACTAAAGGTGGAAGAAAATACTCAATGAGATAGGAAAGTATTAATAATATATTAAATAAGTTATACTGTATAATCTTATAAGTATGTATACAGACATCTAAAAAAATTGATGGAAGACTACAATCAAAAAGTTAATAGTTGTTATCGCAAGGTAAAGGTTGCTTGCTTGTATTTCCCAAACTGTCTCTAGTAAATCATGTATTTTTTTAATATGGCTGAAGAATTGTGATAATTTTTTATACTACAAATGAGAAACACTACTTCATATTATACCAATAAAAATAAGACAGGAAGACATTGTTTTAAAATGATATGGCTCATGTCTGTAATCCTAGCTCTTTGGAGTCCAAGGCATGAGGCTCGCTTGAGATCAGGAGTTTGAAGCCATCCTGAGCAACATAGTGAGACCCCCATCTCTACAGAAATAATAAAATAGAATGATTATGTCCCAAAAATAAGTCATGACAGAACAGTATCTGGGATTTTATTATGTCTTATACAAAATAATACAAAACTGAAAGCTGAAGGTAGCTGAAAAATTTCTAAGCTCTTATTAACTATATTCAAGTACTGTAACAGCAACAAATATAAACAAAAACCTTTAAAACTGCTTTTTGGCCAGATGTCGTGGCTCATGTCTGTAATCCCAGCACTTTGGGAGGCCAAGGCGGGAGGATCACCTGAGGTTGGGAGTTGGAGATCAACCTGATCAACTTGGATAAACCCCTTTTCTACTGAAAATACAAAATTAGCTGGGTGTGGTGGTGCATATTTGTAATCTCACTTACTTAGGAGGCTGAAGCAGGAGAACTGCTTGAACCCGGGAGGCTGAGGTTGCAGTGAGCTGAGATCAGGCCACTGTACTCCAGCCTGAGCAACAAGAGTGAAACTCTATCTCAAACAAACAAACAAACAACAACAAAACTGCTTTTAAGAATTATTTTAGTCTGGGCACGGTGGTTCAGCCTGTAAACCCAGAACTTTGAGAGGCTGAGGTAGGCAAATCACCTGAGGTCAGGAGTTCGAGACCAGCCCGACCAACATGGAGAAACCCCATCTCTACTAAAAATACAAAATTAGCTGGGTGTGGTAGCATATGCCTGTAATCCCAGCTGCTTGGGAGGCTGAGGCAGGACAATCACTTCAACCTGGGAGGCAGGGGTTTCAGTGAGCCGAGACCACACCACTGCACTCTAGACCACGCAACAAGAGCAAAACTCCGTCTCAACAAACAAAAAAAGATTTACTTTAAAACTGATACACTGTGGGCCAGGCGCGGTGGCTCACGCCTGTAATCCCAGCACTTTGGGAAGTTGCGGTGATCCAAGATCACACCATTGCACTCCAGCCTGGGTAACAAGACCAAAACTCCGTCTCAAAAAAAAAAAAAAACAAAACAAAACAAAAAACCAAACAAAACTGATACACTGTAACTTATTCACAATAGCTAGAATGTAGAAGCCACCCAAGTACGCATCCACAGATGAATTAACAAAACGTGGTATGTATATACAATAGAATATTATTCAGACTTAAAAAGGAAAAAAATTCTGACACAGGCTACAACATAATGAGCCTTGAAGACATTATACTGAGTGAAATAAGTCAGTCACACCAGAACAAATATTGTATGATTCCAATTATATGGGGTTTGTAGACCAGTTAAATTCAGAGACAGAAGGTAGAATGGTGATTGTCAGGGGCTAGGGGTAAAAAAGAATGAGAGTTAGCATTTAATGGGTACAGAGTTTCAGTATGGGAAGATGAAAAAAGTTCTGAAAATGGGTGATGATGGTTCCATAATATTAATGTACTTGAACTATATTAATGCCAATGAACTATATGTAAAAATTGTTAAAGTGGTAAATTTTTTTTTGACACAGCATCTCGCACTGTTGCCCAGGCTGTAGTGCAGTGGCGTAGTCTCAGCTCACTGCAATCTCTGCCTCATGAGTTCAAGCAATTCTCCTGCCTCAGCCTCCCGAGTAGCTGGGACTACAGGTGTGCGTCACCACACCCAGCCAATTTTTTTGTAGTTTTAGTGGAGACGGGGTTTCACCATGTTGGCCAGGATGGTCTCGATTCCCTGACCTTGTGATCTGCCCGCCTCAGCCTCCCAAAGTACTTGGATTACAGGCATGAGCCACCGCGCCTGGCCAAAGTGGAAAATTTTATGTTTTATATATATATAACCACAATTTAATAAAACGGATATAATATGCTTCTGCCCCTTGGATGGAAAAAAAACCTAATATAATCCACAAAATACAGATTCTAAAGTAAAGGAAAATAAGATTATCAGAGTTATAAGGGTCATTTATTTACACAAAATATAATGATTTGCTTTCAAAGACAATTCAAAAAGGACATTCTGGCTATGATTTGTTACTCTCTTAATTTTGAAATTGCCCCTTTTCTCAGACACAATTCAAAAGAAAAACAGAGACCAAAAAACAGCAGAGTCCAAAATGTCCTATACTCCACAATTGCAACTTTACACATAAACACAATAACTAAGTAATATGTAATATAAAAATAGCTGTGTGGATCCAGGTGTGGTGGCTCATGCCTGTAATCTCAGCACTTTGGGAGGCCAAGGTGGGCGGATCACGAGATCAGGAGTTTGAGACCAGCCTGGCCAACATGGTGAAACCCTGTCTCTACTAAAGATACAAAAACAAAAATTACCCAGGTGTGGTAGCATGCAACTGTAATCCAAGCTACTTGGGAGGCTAAAGCAGGAGAATCGCTTGAACCAGGGAGTGGGAGGTTGCAGTGAGCCAAGATTGTGTCACTGCACTCCAGCTGGGGCAACAGGGCAAGCTTTTGTCTTTAAAAAAAAAAAAAAAAAAAAGAATAGCTGTGTTGAGTAGGATTATAAACTTTTAGGGTTGATAATCTATCTTTAATGCAAAAATTCACCAAAACAAAGAGAGGCAAGGTGTATTTTAACCTGCCTTTATTAGGAAATCACTTTTTGAATGACAAAAATCAGCTAGCCTGCCAAAAAATTATTACATCAACAGTATGTCCAAAAAAGGTACCCAGTACATTTATCCCAAGGAAATTATTAAAAAGTAATAAGCTTTTAAGAAGCATTTACATGCTTATTAAGAATCCTTAAGTCAGCTGGGCACAGTGGCTCATGTCTGTAATCCCAGCACATTGGGAGGCTGAGGTGGGTAGATCACTTGAGGTCAGGCATTCGAGACCAGCCTGGCCAAAATAGTCAGACTCCACCTCTACTAAAAATACAAAAATTATCCAGGTGTGGTGGCACATGCCTGTAATCCAGCTACTTGGGAGGCTGAGGCAGGAGAATTGCTTGAACCAGGGAAGTGGAGGTTGCAGGGAGCTGATATTGTGCCACTGCAATCCAGCCTGGGTGACAGAGTGAGACTCCATCTCAAAAAACAAACAAAAAGAATCCTAAAGTAAAAGGGGCATTAATTATTCAGGCTGAAAATCAACATCAAATTTCTAGGTAAAAATACCATTTGTATACATTATGTCTTTTTAGAAATCTTTTTTTTTTTTTTTTTCGGAGACAGAGTTTCACTCTTCTCGCCCAGGCTGGAGTGCAATGATGCGATCTCGGCTCACCCCCGAAACCTCCGCCTCTTGGGTTCAAGCAATTCTCCTGCCTCTGCCTCCCGAGTAGCTGGGATTACAGGTACTTGCCACCATGCCCAGCTAATTTTGTATTTTTATCACAGATGGGGTTTTTCCAAGTTGGTCGGGCTGGTCTCAAACTCCCAACCTCACGTGATCTGCCCGCTTTGGCCTCCCAAAGTGTTGGGATTACAGGCGTGAGCCACTGCGCCCAGCTAGAGATCTTTTTAAATGAAAAACTAAATCAAAGAATCACTTGGCTCATGGCCCCAGCTGAGATGTAGCTTAACATATGGCTGAACTACATAGTTTGGGTCAGGAAGAAACAAGACAGAAGCACAATTTGTACTCTAAAACTGAGCACACATATGAAATACTGTGTGGGGGTGTTGATTTATTACTCTACCACCAGATCTTCTTGGCAAAGAGTAGTGTAATTCTGAATAATCTTGGCCTCATATAATCATGAATATGCAAATTGAAGGAAAACTCACATATTATAAAGACACACATAAAGGTATTTATTTTAATAACTGTTGGAATATCATTCCATCATTAGTCTAAGGGTAAAAATCAGGTGTTACTGGTAAAGGATGGGGTCTGGGGCATGAGAGAGTACACTTAAGTTCAATTCCCAATATAAATATTGCTATTTAAGATTTTTATTTCTGGATGGGTGCCGTGGCTCATGCCTACAATCCCACCACTTTGGGAGGCCAAGGTAGCTGGACTGCCTGAGCTTAGGAGTTCAAGACCAGTCTGGGCAACATCTCGAAACCGTGTTTCTACAAAAAATACAAAAATTAGCTGGGTGTGGTGGTACATGCCTGTGGTCCCAGCTACTTGGGAGGCTGAGGTGGGAGGACTGCTTGAGCCCAGGAGGTTGAGGCTGCAGTAATCTGAGATCATATTACTGCACCACTGCACTCCCGCCTGGACAACAAAGCAAGACCCTGTGTCAAAAAAAAAGATTTTTAGTCTTCCTATCCAAATAAAAAGTGTTCATTTTTATAACTATTTTTCCTTGATATGAATTTCCATTTTCCTTTTAAAATAAACTAAAATTTTTAAAGCATAAAGCATACAAAATTTCATGCCACTTTTTTTTTTTGAGATGGAGTCTTGCTCTGTTGCCCAAGCTCACTGCAACCTCTGCCTCCTAGGTTCAAGCAATTCTCCTGCCTCATCCTCCTGAGGAGCTGAGATTAAAGTAACCCACCACCATGCCTTGCTAATATTTTTGTATTTTTAGTAAAGACAGGGTTTTGCCATGTTGGCCAGGCTGTTCTCAAACTCCTGACCTCAGGTGCCTTGGCCTCCCAAAGTGGTGGGATTAGAGGCGTCAGCCACTGAGCCCTGCCCCATTTAACTTTTTTTTTTTTAAATATCTTATAGATGAGGTCCCATTTTGTGGCCCAGCCTAAAGCTTAATAGCACAATCATTAACTCACTGCGACCTTGACTTCCTGGGCTCAAGTGATTTTCCCACCTCAGCCTCGGAAGTAGTTAGCACTATAGGTGTGTACCACCATGCCTGGCTAATTTTTTGTTTTTCTGTAGAGATGGTGTCTTGCCATCTTACCCAGGCTGTTCTCCAACTTCTGGGGCTCAAGCTCACGCAACTTTAACAACTTAAAGATGCCAGGCTTCAAATGATAAAGAGCAAAACTACTCTATTAAATTAGGTCAGTTTATTTTGATTACATAAAGTATGTACATTATTTATCATATATCCACAGCCTGAAAAAAAAAAGGAAGATTTGAAGAAAAAAGATTTTACCTAAAAAAGGCAGTAAGCTACATATTCATATTGACTGGCAATCAATACAATACTACAATTACCTTCTAGAAACAGTTATTATAGGAGAAAAGGAACACACTCTATTATAAAGTCAGCTATAGCTGGGTGCAGTGGCTCACGCCTGTAATCCCAGCACTTTGGGAGGCTGAGGTGGGCAGATCACCTGAGGTCAGGGATTTGAGACCAGCCTGGTCAACATAGTGAAACCCTGTCTCTACCAAAAATATAAAATTAGCCAGGCATGGAGGCAGGCACCTATAATCCCAGCTACTCAGGAGGCTGAGATAGGAGAATCACTTGACCCTGGGAGGCAGAAGCTGCAGTGAGCCAAGATCTCGCCATTGCACCCCAGCCTGGACAAGTTTTTTTGAAACTCCCTCTCAAAAAAAGAAAAAAACGATGGTTTACAAAGTCAGCTATAAAATGTAGATAATACGATTTCAGTTTACAGGCATACCACCATGAACGTGCCTGATCTCATCTGATAATACTATTTCATAGAATTATGTGGAAAATAAAAATTACACACACACACACACACACACACATCCCCACCCACACACAGTACTTTGCACAATAAAGGCCAGTTAATAAATATTCAATAAATAGTAGCTATTATTTATTACTTTATTCAGTTAACCTTTCTGGGCCTTGGTTTTCTGACTTTTAATAATAATAGGCCAGTGTATAGGTTATGATTTAAAAAAAAGAATAATAATAGGTATAAGTTCTGTAAATAATTATTGAAAAGATTATCTGAAATGTTGCATTTAAAGTGCCTAGTAAGCCGGGCACGGTAGCTCATGCCTGTAATCCCAGCACTTTGGCAGGCTGTGGCAGGCGGATCACAAGCTCAAGAGACTGAGATTATCCTAGCCAATATGGTGAAACCTCGTTTCTACGAAAAATACAAAAATTAGCTGGGTGTGGTGGCACGTGCCTGTAGTCCCAGGTACTCAGGAGGCTGAGGCAGGAAAATCGCTGGAACCTGGGAGGTGGAGGTTGCAGTGAGCCAAGATCGTGCCACTGTACTCCAGTCTATATGACAGAGCGAGACTCTGTCTCAAAAAAAGAAAAAATAAAATAAAGTGCCTAGTAAAATACCTAGTACAAGCAAGCACTGACTAAAATGACAGTATGATAAATAAATAAAAATTTAAAAAATAAGATATTATGCAATGTAGAAAAAATATTATAGAACAGCAAATCTATCTACATTCAGCATTGGTGTTGTGCATCATTTTCTTGTTTTTTTTTTGTTTTGTTTTTGAGACAGAGTCTCACTCTGTTGCCAGGCTGTAGGGCAGTGGCATGATCTCAGCTCACTGCAACCTCCACCTCCCTAGTTTAAGTGATTAGTGAATTATAGTCTGAAGAAGACTACTTACTGTATACTAGTTCAGGCAGAATTCCTAAGAAAAAATAAATGATGGAATGTGCTTTACAGAATAATCTAAAACTGGGAAAGTATAAGAATACGTTCAAAAGACTCTTAGCTGGAGAACTGTTGCCAAATCTTTACAATAAGATTTGTGCTGAGAAAAGAACTCTTTTTGTGAATCTAGTAGACAGTGACTTACTTACAAACTTAGGGGAACTATCGCAACTTGTGATCATAGAAAAAAAAATTAAGAGGCAGATTTAACAGTCATATTGGTTTAAAGTAAAAAATCTGTTTAAATTTGGGGGAGGTAGTCAATAGTAAAGTACTACATATTGTTGAGGGGGAAAACGTTACCTGATCTCTTTGGAAATACCATTTTTAAAGTAGGCACAAACTGCATGATCAGTTGCAAAAGATACATACAGAAGTGTAATCAATTATGATATGAGCTTCACGTCAGTAAAACCTAACTTGATCAGGCAGGATTTTTTTGTTTGTAGAACAACAAAGAAATGCAGATTAAAAAACACACAATTTCACTGGCTAGGCCCAATATGTATTTAAGTGACCCTTTAGTCCATCTTTGCTTGCATGCTATCTTAATTTCTCCCTTTATTAAAGCATTTCCAAACCAAGATCTCTAGGTTATACCAATTAATCACAAAGCAGAGAGGCTAGCATAAATCTGACATTTTCTATAAGTGTAGAAAAGACTTCACAGCTTTCAATGGCCTATTTTCAAGAAAATAAAAGCTGCTTTGTTCACTTGCTCAGCTGCTTTAAAAACAAATACAAAGATTTCATGCTGCCATACTTTTAAAGAACAATACTTGTGAAACTGGATAATAAAAGCCAGACAGCAAAATCCAAAATAAAAAAAAAACAGACACAATTTCATACAAGAAATACACTAAGCAACTAAGAAAAACAATTCTATCTTCCAAATAAATTAATTTTAAAGCTCACTTCAACAATTTTCCTTTTGTCCTGATTTTATTATTTCTTTTCAATCTCTTCCAAGAACATAGAGTACTAACCTCCTTCTACATGGCTAATAAATGATTTCAAAGAGCTTTAGAAAATGGCATTCCTTGGCCACCTACTCATTTCAGGTGCATGCACCCCATCATTTAAATATTCCAGATAATTTCCTATGTAGCTAAATGTGTAGTAATAACAACACATTTCTATGTTTCTTCTAGGTGATATCAGGCAAGGCAACAATATAGATCATTGTATATCTAACCCACAGGACTAGCTCTAAGAAACTTGTAAGTGTTCATTCAGTGTAATTAACCCAATATTCAGAATTATGAACTTGTTTCTATACTGACCTTTGCTTTTGGTCCCAGTGAAAGATTAGCCGTATTGTAGCAGCATGTCCCCAACTTTCCCCTGAGAGTAAAGAACATAATAACTGTATATTGCCTTACTGACTTGGTTATAAATTTCTCAGAATGCCTCTGATCAAATATAATCTTACTTGACTTAATTTAACATAACAAAAGTATACTTGCTTTAAAAAAAAAAAACAAACCTGGGAAATAAGTAACATCCTGAGATTACAAGATTTTTACCTATCTAGGGGAATATTGCAAATCATTATCCTCTATTTGCTTTGAGAAAACTTAATAGTCTGAGTCCATATATTTGCCAATTTTCATATCATCAAACCTAATATATTTCTGACCTCTGGAAGAAAAGTAAAAACTCTGGTAGAATATTTTTTAAGATTTTAGTGGACATACATCTTGAAGCACTGTATTCTAACAAAACCACGATATTCACCGTAGTGTGTATTTAAGTGGATTCACCCCTCTTTCTGCCTAACACTATGAATTCTCCGGGGGCAAGAATCATTGACACAGTAGTTGCTAGACAGTAGATACTCAATTTTTTGAGACAGTGTAGCTCTGTCACCCAGGCTGGAGTGCAGTGGCATGATTCCAGCTTCTCACAGCCGCATCTTCCAGGTTCAAGCAATTCTCATGCCTCAGCCTCCCAAGTTGGTGGGATTACAGTTGTGTGCCACGATGTCTGGCTAATTTTTTGTATTTTTAGTTAAGATGGGGTTTCACCATATTGGCCAGGCTAGTCTTGAACTCCTGGCCTCAAGTGATCCACCTCAGCCTCCCAAGGTGCTAGAATTACAGCTGTGTGAGACACTGTGTCTGGTCACTCAATAAATGTTAAGTAACTAAAAGAAACAGTCAGTATCTAAGGGTACTGTACTTAGTGCTAAGATTAACCAGTGAACAAGACAAATACAGTCTGCTTTCATGGAGCTTATAGTACTCAATGAGAATCAAATAAAAGAGATAGGAAAAACTGTGATTAACTAAAATGTTTATCTCACTGATTACCCACCTAATGCAGGAATGAGCAAGGCCTGATTTTTATTAATCTTTGTTGTCATCTGATTGGTTAAAATTACCTATAAAAACAAAATGCAAGAAAATTAGGTGAGTCTCTTTAAAAATTATCAAGTAAAGTCTTGTTATTTTAGTAATCTGAAAATAATCTCCCCATTAAAGATGGCCATTTGGCCAGGCGCGGTGGCTCAAGCTTGTAATCCCAACACTTTGGGAGGCCAAGGCGGGTGGATCATGAGGTCAAGAGATCGAGACCATCCCGGTCAACATGGTGAAACCCCGTTTCTACTAAAAATACAAAAAATTAGCTGGGCATGGTGGCATGTGCCTGTAATCCCAGCTACTCAGGAGGCTGAGGGAGGAGAATTGCCTGAACCCAGGAGGCAGAGGTTGCAGTGAGCCGAGATCACGACATTGCACTCCAGCCTGGGTAACAAGAGTGAAACTCCAACTCAAAAAAAAAAAAAAAAAAACAAGACGGCCATTTATGTAATAAAAATTTTTCGGATAAAAAAACTTTAAAAATCTGCCCATAAAATATGTAGTTATCTGAAAACACGATTCTACTGATCATAAAATATTTTATTTTCATACTTTAGAGATGGGGTCTTGCTAGGTTGCCCAGGTTGGCCTTGAAGTCCTAAAATCACACAATCCTCCTACCTCAGCCTCCTGAATAGCTGGGACTAGAGGAATTTGCCACATCTAGCTCACAAAACTTTTTTTTTTTTTAAGGGACAGGGTCTTGTTATGTTGCCCAGGATGATCTTGAACTCCTAGGCTCAAGCGATCCTCCTGCCTCAGCCTCCCAAAGCGCTGGGATTATAGGCATGAACTACTGTGCCTGACCTACAAAAAACTTTTTAAAAAATTAACTGGGCATGGTGGTGCACAGCTGTAGTCCCACCTTACTCAGGAGGCTGAGGTGGGATAATTGCTTGAGCCCAGGAGGTTGAGACAGGAGTCAGCCATGATCATGTCACCTGTACTCCAGCCTGGTGACCAAGTAAGACCTCATCTCAAAAAAGAAAAAAGAAAGATTGAGTCTTGCTCTGTTGCCTAGGCTGGAGTGCAGTGGCGCAATCTCAGCTCACTTCAACCTCCACCTCCCAGGTTCAAGCGATTCTCCTGCCTCAGCCTCCCAAGTAGCTAGGATTACAGGTGCCTGCCATCACAGCTGGCTAATTTTTGTATTTTTAGTAAAGACGGGGGTTCACCATGTTGGCTAGGCTGGTCTTGAACTCCTGACCTCAAGTGATCCACCTGCCTCAGCCTCCCAAAGTGCTGGGATTACAGGCATGAGTCACTGCAGCTGGCTTGAGTCCATGTTCTTTATCATTATTGCCTCCCCAGAATATTTTTATTCAAAGGAATATGAAATCCTTAATAAAGACCTCAATGTTTACATTTCTAGGAAGGAGGCAAATATAGTATTTTATAATCTTATAGGAAAAAAAGAAACTGAGGCAACAAATTATGAGAAGAGACTTAAAATCATAAAGAAAGTACAATATAAGTAGATGAACTAGGAAAAAAAAATCCTAGTAGTCAGGTCAAATGATTCCAAATTATGATTATGCTAGGTGGCTAGTAACGGCCACAGGAGTTGCTTTGGAACTCACAGATGGCCCTCAAAGTTTCATATTGCTAATTCTCTTGGAATAAATACTGACCTACAAAAAAGGTTCCAGGTTTTGAAAGATAATAATTTTAAATAAAACAGGGAAAACAAAAGTATTTCAGGCAGACTTAACATAGAAGGCAGATCTGTTATTTTTCCACCCCAAAATCTCCAGAAATGGTTACTTTATATAGTCTTCTAATACAGATCTTCCCTCCAGAAAAAAGTTGATGTTGCAAGCTAAAACTGATAACAAAATTCCATGAAAAACAGTAAGAAAAAGTTGTTTACTCTGAAAATGAATTTTTTACATAAGAAAACAGAAACAGGTTGGGTGCGGTGGCTCATACTTGTAATCCCAGCGCTTTGCAGGGACAAGGCAGGCACATCACCTAAGGTCAGGAGTTCAAGAACAGCCTGGCCAAAATGGCGAAACCCCATCCTAAAAATACAAAAAATTAGCCAGGCACTGGGGCAGGCACCTGTAACCCCAGCTACTGTGGAGGCTGAAGCAGGAGAATCACTTAAATCCAGGAGGCAGAGGTTGCAGTGAGCCAAGATTGCACCATTTTACTCCACCCTGGGCAACAAGAGCAAGACTCCATCTCAAAAAAACAAAAACAAAAACAAAAACAAAACCTGAGGAAAAAAAGGTTAACTGTTACCATTGCACTGGTAACACCCTAAAATTTTCTTTCTTTTTTTTGAGACAGAGTCTTGCTCTGTCACCGAGTCTTGCTCTGTCACCAGGGCTGGAGTGCAGTGGCACAATCTCGGCTCACTGCAACCTCCGCCTCCTGGGTTCAAGCAATTCTTCCGCCTCAGCCTCCTGAGTAGCTGGGGCCACAGGCACATGCCACCATGCCCAGCTATTGTTTTGTATTTTTAGTAGAGACAGAGTTTCAAGGTGTTGGCCAGGATGGTATTGATCGCTTGAGCTTGTGATCCACCCGCTTCGGCCTCCCAGAGTGCTGGGATTACAAGCATGAGCTACCTTGCCTGGCCAATTATTCATATTTTATTTTATTATTATTATTATTTTTTTTAAGAGATGGGGTCAGGCTTTGTCGTCCAGGCTGGTTTCAAACTCCCGGCTTCAGGCGATCTTCCCACTTTGGCCTTCCAAAAGTGCTGGGATTACAGGTGTAAACCACCACATCTGGCCTTAAAATTATATAAAATACGGGCTGGGCGCAGTGGCTCACGCCTTTAATCCCAGCACTTTGGGAGGCCGAGGCAGGTGGATCACGAGATCAAGAGATCGAGACCATCCTGGTCAACATGGTGAAACCCTGTCTCTACTAAAAATACAAAAAATTAGCTGGGCATGGTGGCGCGTGCCTGTAATCCCAGCTACTCAGGAGGCTGAGGCAGGAGAATTGTCTGAACCCAGGAGGCGGAGGTTGCGGTGAGCCGAGATCGCGCCATTGCACTCCAGCCTGGGTAACAAGAGCGAAACTCCGTCTCAAAGAAAAAAAAAATTATAAAATACATTATCAAAAGCCATACATGTTATATATATATATATATATATATATATATATATACATATATATATATATATATATGCTAATTGGGGAGGAACCTTCAAGCAAAGAATTTATAAAGTAAGAGGGGGAAAGTGTGTCCCTGACTCCACAAAATCCTATCCTTAGAAGTAACCAAAACTGGGCACAGTGGCTCATGCATGTAATCCAAGCACTTTGGCTAAGGTAAGCAGATGATCACTTGAGCCCAAGAATTAATGACCAGCTGGGAGACATGATGAAACTCCATCTCTATAAAAAATAAAAAAATAAAACAGTTAAGCAGGCATGGTGACATGCACCTGTAGTTTCAGCTACTAGGGAGGCTCAGGTGTGAGGGTCACTTGAGCCTGGGATGTTGATGCTGCAGTGAGCCCTGATTGAGCCACTTTACTCCAGTAAGATTGCGTCTCCAAAAAAATAAAAAAGAAGTAGCTACTGTTAATGTTTTGGTCCTTTCAGATCTTCCTCTTCATATATACAAATATAAATGCATACATATAATTTTAAGTTTTCTCTAATGTGGGATTACACTAAATATATTTTATATACAACTTAAATTTTTCACTCAATAATATATCTGTATATATCTTCTTCCATGTTAGGACATTTATATTTATAGCACTCTTCTTAAACACTATCTACGATTTGATGTTATTGTTTGGATTGCTTTTTTAGTCAGAAAAGATGAAGCTATTTCTGTTAAAATAATAACATAAGGAGCCAGGTGCGGTAGCTCACACCTGTAATCCCAATGCTTTGGGAGGCCAAAACGGACAGATTGCCTGAGCTCAGGAGTTGAAGACCAGCCTGGGCAACACGGTGAAACCCTGTCTCTACTAAAATACAAAAAATTAGCTGGGCGCGGCGGCATTCACCTGTAGTCCCAGTTACTTGGGAGGCTGAGGCAGGAGAATTGCTTGAATCTGGGAGGCCCTCTGCCTCCCAGTTGCAGTGAGCCGAGATCATGCCATTGTACTCGAGCCTGGGCAACAGAGTGAAACTGTCTCAAAAAAACGAAACAAAACAAAAAAATAAATAAAGGAAGGAACTATGTAACCCATTAGCCTTGAGTGCCCCCTACTGGGGGCTCTTCACTGACATTAACAAAATGCTAAATTACAATTAATTTAAGCAAGAAGTAATTCAAACACAGGGCACTATACTTTTCAGCATATGGCAAAGATCTGGAAATTCAAAGAAAAAAAGTCTGCTTTGAAATGATTTTATTGGGGAAGTTCTCTATTTACTTATGATGTATTACAAGCATGTGCTAAGGTCTCTCTAATTAAGGTAAAGACAAAGAAATCAAGCTAAGCAGTCTGACCTTCTTACATCTTACTCCCAGACAAGTGTGTGTATTTGTGTCAATGGTGAGATGCAGTTTCAGAATGGGAAGTAACGGCAAACAGGCAATTAAAAAGGAGTAAGGCAAAACTTAAAAAAAAGATAGATAGATAGATAGATAGATAGATAGACAGACAGATAAATAGATATAGATATAGGCAGGGTGTGGTGGCTCATGCCTGTAATCCGAGCACTTTGGGAGGCCAAGGTCGGTGGATCACAAGGTCAGAAGTTCAAGATCAGCCTGGCCAAGATGGTGAAACGCCATCTCTACTAAATATACAAAAAAATTAGCTGGGCATTTTGGCAAGCGCCTGTAATGCCAGCTACTCAGAAGGCTGAGGCAGAGAAATGCTTGAACCTGGAAGGCGGAGGCTGCAGTGAGCTGAGATCACACCATTGCACTTCAGCCTGAGCGACAGAGTGAGATGCCGTCTCAAAAAAAAAAAAAATCTCTTCACTTCTGAGCCTATATTTACTTCTTTCCTCACATTTCAAATCTTCAAAAGTTATTTAGCTCTACCTCAAATCATCTAGGTTGTTTACACTATGTAATGTTTAAATCGATCTGAATCTGTGATTATATATTACATAATAATCAAAGAGTCAGAGTTAAAGAAAACCAGGGATGTTGGAATAGTTGACCTGAAAAACATCCAAAGTTTATTTAAACAAAGAAGACACTGCAATTAACAAAGGTGAGACTTCTTTATCAAACAAAGTTCATTTTCTTTTTCTTGAGATGGAGTCTTGCTCTGTTGCCCAGGCTGGAGTGCAATGGTGCCATCTTGGCTCACTGCAACCTCCGTCTCCTGGGTTCAAGCAATTCTTCTGCCTCAGCCTCCCAAGTAGCTGTGATTACAGGCATGTGCCACTATGCCCGGCCAATTTTTTTAATTTTTAATTTTTAGCAAAAAGACAGGGTTTCACCATGTTGGCCAGGCTGGTCTTCAACTCCTGACCTTGTGATCTGCCTGCCTTGGCCTCTGGAAGTGCTGGGATAACAGGCATGGGCCACTGTGCCCAGCTACAAAGTCCATTTTTTAAAATGACAGATTAATTACACTTGTTTTTTGAAGGAAAACTGACACTTATGACTAGAATTTTTTAATAGAAACCAAACCAAACAGAAACTACTCAAAACTGCATGTCTATATTATTTATTACTCAGGCAAATGCTATTTTGCTATTTCATTTTATACATTTTGACATTAACATTTTATACAGTCTTGACTTTGTTGTATAACTCTCTTCACTAGTTAATACTTACAGCTAATCTGTGATTATTTGCAAGACTGATCATTTGCTGGGCTAGGCCATTTAATAACCGAGTACGAAGAGACAGGTCATCTAGGTCATGACGAAATGGAAAAGCAATGCCATCCACTATCACCAACCGAACCTAAATACAAAAGAGATAATATTAGATTTGGTAAGAAAAATAAAATAATAAAGATGACATCCAAAAACCATAGTCCATTACATGAAAAAAACCTTAAAATCTAGGGGTTTATTTTCAACTGTCTAAAGTATGGCTTTCTTGTGGAAAGTTACAAAGCTGTTTACTCAATAGTTTCTGCAATAATCACTAAAAATTAAAATGGACTCTGCTTTGATAATTTATCAACTTTAAAAAAGTAATTATAATTTTCTTATAACTTGCCACTATACACAGTCTTTACTGATAAAAAGCACATTTAAAGTCCTCGTAAAACTTGTGAAAATGCTTAAAGAAAAAGTCTTGTTAAAACAACAAATTTGTCAATTAAATATACCAATTTTAACTTCAGGGTTCCTTTTATGTTTCCTAAAAAAAAAAAACCCTATGGGCTCATGTCTGTATTCCCAGCACTTTGGGAGGATGAGGTGGGTGGATGACGAGACAGGAAATTGAGACCAGCCTGGTCAATACGGCGAAACCCCATCTCTACTAAAAATACAAAAATTAGCCATGCGTGGTGGTGGGCACCTGTAGTCCCAGCTACTTGGGAGGCTAAGGCAGGAGGATTGCTTGAGCCCAGAAATTCGAGGCTGCAATGAGCAATGCCATGCATGCCAGCCTGGGGGACAGGACAAAGCTCTTTCAAAAGAAAGCCCTCCAAAACAAAACATAAACAGTGAGGTTAGAAGAATAAATCAATATACAAGCCTAAGATCCTCAAATCAAAAAGGATCTGGGAATTAATCCAAATGTAAACAAAACATAAAAAACTACAATGCTATGTTTTTTTCTATCTAGTAAGGGTTCGATTAAAGAAGAGGCTTTTATGAAGCCTCTAAGTAAGTTGCTTTTTAACATTTTATTTAGAATATTCATTTCTTCATTAGCAAGTATCCATTGACACCTCCTGTCCTATATGCTAGTTACTGTTCCAGGCATTGGGGATGATATAGTAAATAAGAGAAAAGAATACAGTGAATGAGAGAGAAGGTCCCTGCTCTCTTGGAACTTATGTTCTAGTGGAGTAAGGGACCATTAATATGTAAACAAACAAATAAGATAATTTCTGATAATTATAGGAGTCATGAAGAAAATAAAACTGGATGAAGTGAAGAACAGTGAAACACTAAGAAAAAACCACAAAAATGAAAAAAAGTGGCATTATAAAGACTATGAAAAGAATATTTGTTTACAGTATGAGAGCTCAAATAAGAAGGCAGACCATGACCTTGTTCAACCTCAGCTGGGAATGTGTGTACAGGGCTATTTAATTTTTCATGACTCCACACATGACCACTGCTCTGTGTCTCTCCAGTAATCTAAGCTGAAACCCTATTTCCCAATGTGATTGTATTTGGAGAGAGGGCTTCTAAGGTAGTAATTAATATAAAATGAGATCATGAGAATGACATCCTGACTTGAGAGGATTAGTGTCCTTGAAGAAAAGACACCAACCTAAGAGCTCACTCTCCCTGCTTTCTCCACATGAGGGCACAGCAAGAAGGTGGCCATCTACAGGTCAGGAAGAGAGCTCTCACTGGGAATCAATCAGCCAGAAGCCTGATCTTGAACTTCTAGTCTCCAGAACTGTAAGAAAATAAAATTTCTGTTGTTCAAGCCACTCAGACTATAGCATTTTTGTTATAGCAGTCTGAGGTGACCAAAACAGATTTTAGTATCAAGAAATGAGGTATGGTACATTCGAGGGGTAAGAGAAGAGACGTACTACTATAACAAATACCTAAAATGTGGAATTGATTTTGAAATTGGGTAATAAGCAAAGGCTGAAAAAGTTTTGAGGCGCATACTGAAAATATGAACATTATGGGCAGTTCTGGTGAGGCTTTATACAGAAATGAGGAACACGTTATTGGAAACTGAAGGAAAGCTGGTCCTCAGTATAAAGTGGCAAAGAACTTGGCTGACTGTGCTTTTGTATTTTATGGAAGGTAAAACTTGTAAGAAATGAAATTGGCTATTTATCTCAGGATATTTCTAAGCAAAGTGTGGAAAAAGTGGCTTGGTTCCTCCTAGAGCACTTACGGTAAAAATGCAAGAGGAGAGAGAGAAATTGAAGAAGGAATTGTTCAGCAAGATGGAACTAGAACTTAGAGATCTGAAAAATTCTTAGCCGATCCATATTGCTAAAAAAAGCTTGCTCTAGAGAGAAGACCAAAAGTATGGTTGGACACTCACTCTATAAATAGCTTACCCTTGATGTTAATCAGCCACCTCAGAAGCCAGTAACAGATAAGGTGTTGTAACAGCAGAAACTGATAGTTTGAACTAAAAAGGACAGAGAAAGTAGGAAAGAATGAAGGAAGGTGTTGGACTTCCTTGATTCCACAAAACAAAACCATGAGTTAACTTGACCTGTCAATGTGCCCTATTCCTCAAGAAAAGCAAAGAATGATGCCAAAGGGGATCACAGATCCTCAGAGCTGCCACTCTTACCATAAGCCCAGGGGCAATGCTATTATGTCTTCCTTGGTTTCAGAGGGTTGGGGCCCCTGCAGAGAGATGAAGGGGCAGGGCCACCCCACAGAGCAGTAGAGTGACTCTGCTACTCCAGTGAGCCTGGAAGTCAGATCATCAAAGCAAACGAAAGCAAAGCAAAGGATTGTTCTTTTTATTATTATTATTTAGACGGAGTCTCGCTCTGTTGCCAGGCTGGAATACAATGGCATGATTTCAGCCTACTGCAACCTCCACCTCCTAGGTTCAAGTAATTCTTCTGCCTCAGCCTCCTGAGTAGCTGGCACTACAGGTGTGTGCCACCATGCCTGGCCTAATTTTTGTATTTTTAGTAGAGATGGGGTTTCACCATATTGGCCAGGCTGGTCACAAACTCCTGACCTCATGATCTGCTTGCTACAGCCTCTGAAAGTGCTGGGATTACAGGGAGGTGGCTCACTCCTGTAATCCCAGCACTTTGGGAGGCAGAGGCAGGTGGATCACCTGAGGTCAGGAGTTCGAGACCAGCCTGACCAACACAGAGAAACCCTGTCTTTACTAAAAATATAAAATTAGCCGGGCATGGTGGCACATGCCTGTAATCCCAGCTACTTGGGAGGCTAAGGCAGGAAAATCACTTGAACCCAGGAGGCAGAGGTTGAGGTGAGCTGAGATCATGCCATTGCACTCCAGCCTGGGCAACAAGAGTGAAACCCTGTCTCAAAAAAAAAAAAAAAAAAAAAAAAAAGAAAGAAAGAAAGAAAGAAATTTGCCTTGCTTGGGACCCATAATCCTTTTTTTCCTTTTGATTTCTTCCTTTTGGAATGGGAATGTTCATCCTATGCCTGTCCTACCATTGTATTTTGGAAGCACATAACTTGTCTGATTTCAACCGTTCACAGCTGGAAGGGAATTTAACCTCAGGACGAATTATAACTTGAGTCTCACCAATCTCTGATTTAGATAATATTTAGATAAGGTCTTTGAATTTTAGAGTTGATGATGGAACTAGTTAAGACCTCTGGGGCTGTGTGGATGGAATGGATACAAGAAGTACATGAATTAGCGGGGTGGGGGTAGGGGCAAACTTCTGGGACCTGAATTGTGTCCTCTTAAAATTCATTATGTTGAATCCCTAAACCCCAATATGAATGTATGTGCAGAAAGGACTTCTGAGGAAATAATCAAAGTTAAATGAGGTCATAAAGATGGGACCTTAACCCAATATGATTAGTGTCCTTGTAAGAATAGACACCAGGGGATTCACCCTTTCCTTCTTTTCCTCTCTCTCATATGAAGACACAGAAAAAAAGATGGCTGTCTGCAAGCCAGGAAGAAAGCCCTTGCCAGAAACTGAATCAGCTAGAACTTTGATCTTGGACTTCTAGGCTCCAGAACTCTAAGAAATTAATTTCTATGGTTTTTATTATTTTTATTTCATTTTACTTTTTGAGACAGAGTCTCTGTCACCCATGCTGGAGTGCAGTGGCACGATCTTGGCTTATTGCAACCTCCGCCTCCCAAGTCCAAGCAATTCTCCTGCCTCAACCTCCCAAGTAGCTGGGATTACAGGCATACCCCACCACACCAGGCTAATTTTTGCATTTTTAGTAGAGATAGGGTTTCACCATATTGGCCAGGCTGGTCTCGAACTCCTGACCTCAAGTGATCTGCCCATCTCAGCCTCCCAAAGGGCTGGGATTACAGACGTGAGTCACTGCCCCTGGCCTAATTTCTACTGTTTTAGCCATCCAGTCTATGTTATTTTTGTTGTGGCAGCCTGGACTAATACGTCTGCAGATGACTATCAAAGCACTCTTGGGGCTAGGTGCAGTGCCTCATTGCCTGTAATCCCAGCATTCTAGGAGGCTGCGGCAGGGGGATCACTTGAGCCTAGGAGGTGGAGACCAGCCTGGATAACATGCTAAAACCCTGTCTCTAAAAATATACAAAAATTAGCCAGGCGTGGCGGCATGCACCTTAGTTCCAGCTACTTCAGACGCTGAGGTGGGAGGATAACTTAAGCTTGGGAGGTTGAGACTGTGAGCAGTAAGTCATGATCATGCCACTACACTCCAGCCTAGACAACTGAGAGAGATCTTGTCTCAAGAAAGAAAAAAAAAAAGAAAAAGAAAAGAAGAAGAAGAAAGCAGTATTAGTTTTGATTTTGACATTACAAATAAATTTCACCAAGTAGGCAAATTCACAATTACATAATCTGTATATAATGAAGATCAAAGTGGTCAATAGTGATTGTCTGAAAGCTTTCCCCTAAGATCAGGACCAAGACAAGTATGCCTGTTTTCATCATTGCTATTCAACATGATATTAAAAGTTCTAAGGCCGGGCACGGTGGCTCAAGCCTGTAATCCCAGCACTCTGGGAGGCCGAGGCGGGTGGATCACAAGGTCGAGAGATCGAGACCATCCTGGTCAACATGGTGAAACCCCGTCTCTACTAAAAATAAAAAAAATTAGCTGGGCATGGTGGTGCGTGCCTGTAATCCC